GCCTAGCATATTAAGCGTGTAAAATCTGACGACCATCCTACTTCCTACTAATATTACAAATGCGAAAGTTTGTGAGACTGTGTATGTGTGTGTGTGTGTGTGTGTGTGTGTGTGTGTGTGTTTGTTTGTTACTTTTTCACATCAAGACGGCTGAAAGCATCGAGACGAAATTTGGAACAGGGGAAGATTATGGTTTGACACATAGGCCTCGTTTTTAGCGAGTGAAGCCGCTGGCAGAAGCTAGTATTTATATAATTATTCAGATTAAATTAATATAAACTAATACCTGTTGCCCGCGACTTCGTTCGTGTAGAATATGCTTCCTGTTTTATCCTTTGGGAGCATTTAATCGGGATAAAAATGTAAGTCAGTCCTATCATGTAAGTCAGCCCATACCCTGCCTGTATACCAAGTTTCATTAAAACCCGTTCAGTAGTTTCATCGTCATTGACGATCAAACATTCGTACGAAACTTTCGCATGTATAGTATTATAGTATGATAAATCGATAATTAGGTATAACCTAATTCGAATATGAAATAACGTAACGTATGATTAAAATTGAAACTAAAACCATCAATGATATTTCAAATTGCTATTAAATGCCTACAAATTTCATATTTCGCTTTACTTATGCATAGGGAAATTAACTCGTCGAGTACCGGTTTTGTAGACACAATTATAGAACAATAGGTTGCGGTCACCGGTGACCGCTTGGTGTTTGACAGTTTAATATTGTTTTTGATTTTAGAGCATAACATATCTAAACTTTTACATATGTAGATAAAAGTAGTTACATAATGTGCTGTAATTAGTGATATTTATTATTAAATGAACCAGAATTGATATAAGGCTAACTGTTAATAACAATAATTATCGGTTCATGGTTTAATTTAGTAATACCTATTTTAATCAAGTTTTATAGATATTTAGCAGTATCAGCTATAACTTTGGTAAACGGAAGGGGTTTGGACCATAATCTATTTCTATTCCAAATTTCAAGCCGATCCCTTCAGTCGATTTGACGTAAAGGAGTCATACACATACAAGCAAGCAAACAAGCAAACAAACAAAGAAATAAACGAACATTAGTAGGATTCCTTACACCGAAACTATCTTTACATACAAACATATGAAGGTACGTAGTAATGAAAGCATTTTATAATAGCTGAGGGATATGGTACAAGAGACGTTTAATGGATTAAAGCCACAAGAGTCACAGGATCTATTTCGGTACCATTGCCCAAGTTAACCACAAGACCCTGCCACTGTGTTCGTAAACAAGAAGTCCAAATTGGTCTGTTTCATATAACATTTATACCTACCTGTTATTTTCTCAAGTAATGGTCAGAAGTATGCATATTCTGTATTGTGATATTAATTCGTTAATAGTTGTTAAATTCCTTATACAATTCTTAAAAAAAAAAATAGTTTAGCGTTATATTCATATCTTTATTTGCATACTATAACGTTTCGCAAGATGTTTCATAGTGGGCTTAAAGCTAGGACACAATTACGGACCCTTTCGGGCACAGCTAAATATAATGTTACATTACAATTTTAATCAATTACATAAATAAAATAAAGTTTAACATAGTCAATAGTTTTATAAGCACAAATTAATTTATAAAATTAACATAACATAGCATCACGCCTTTTATCCCCGAACGGGTAGGCAGATGTGCACATTTCGGCACCTAATGCCACTGTACAAT